AGTCTCCTGGTTTGAAGGAATCCAGTGAAATGCCTCATTTTAAAAAGGCTTATGTTCCTGCAATTTTGGCATTAAGATTGCGAGTTGCTTTTTGATGGGGGCAGGTATGAATGAACATGTTCCAAAGCGATCTGGGCTTTAAGGCCACAGTGGACTCCAGCCATTTATTTGTGATCTGTCAAAACTCAGCTGTACACCTCTGGATTAAATTAATCTTTGGAAAGTTGGTGCTGTGTCCTCGGACTTCTGAATGTTCCTAAAAATCAGTATTGATATGATGAAATGAAGTCTGGGGGCGTCACAGTGGCACTGTGGTTTGCACTGTTGCCTCTCACCTCTGGAACCCGGGTTTGAGTCTCTGCCAGGATTCCATGTATGTGGAGTTTGCATGTTCTACTGATGCTGTGGTGGGGAACCCTCTGGGTACTCCAGTGTTCCCCCACAGTCCAAAAACATGGTGAATCAGAGTTGCCAAACTGCCCATAGGTGTGCATGTGTGAGTGCAACCAGTGATGCGTTGGTGCTCCATCCTGGGTTGTTTCCTGCCCTGTCCTTCCAGGATAGGCTCTGGACCCCCTGTAACCCTGATTAGGAAAAGCGGCAACAAAAAACAGACTGATACAAAGTGACAATTCTTTTCAGTTAATTGCTTTTGGGAAGGAATTTTTGTACATTTCTTTCTTTATTCACATAAAAAAATGCAACAACGGCTGTTGAAGCCCAGTGTTAAATCTGTGCGGACGCTGCAGGACAGCTTGGCTGGGACGGCCATTGGAACAGTCATATTCCTCAGACTGAAACACCTCCCACACCCCCCACCTGGCCAGTCAAAGCCTTCAGTTCTGAGCGCTGCCAGATGTTCCCCGAGAACTTACAGCTGTTCTGCATCATCCACAGATTGGCAACACGGCAGCTGGGTGTGTTTCACCAACCACGTTACACAGTGCAGAAGCTGTGAGTGCTTCCCTAGAGCTGCTCGTCGTCACAGCTTACAGATACGATCGGGGATGAACTGCCAGCCGTCCTCAGCCTGCATCTGCACATATCACACTAACGTTGGAGCTCCATGCTGGTTCCCACCCTAGCCGAAGCCATTCTGTGAACTATTTAAAAGAAATAATTTAGAGATGTAGATGTTCATAAAACAAACTCACTGGACTCAATTCCAGCTGAATGTGTCATATTTAACTATTTTATTATTTATTTTACCAACTTAATTATGGAATCACATCCTTGTGTGACAAATTCAGTAAACCTGACGGCTACAAAAATAGAGGAGAGTTTACGTTTGAATCAGGAAGTTGCACAGCTGAAAGCTTGACGATCATATGAGATGCAGGATCGATGCATCCAAGCACACAACACCATGCTCATCTGTGTGCGTGGCTGACAAACCCAAACATGCATGATTCATCATCACTTGTCATCACTTGTCCTCATCCAGTGCCTCATTGCCAAAGAGGGATTTAGCTGTTTGTAAACACAGATCACTCTATTATATTAGCTAAGAGCTACGGTGTATCACAACTATTTGTTTCGCACGTTTCTTTTAGTCCAACACATAAGCACATAAATCTGTTCCATAATTAACTTGAATGCTTTTAGATATGAGAAGAAAATAGATTTACTAAGACGTTCCAGCTGAAAAACTTTGGATGACCTCTTTTTATTTTTTGATCATGACAGTTTTAGTGGAGGAAAGGTATCATTCATTGTAGGTAATTATTCAGCTGTTTTATATCCTTTATACTGTACAAAACTTAGCATCTTTGGCACAGAAGTAGACAATGGATGTGCATTTATGTAGTAACATCTAACCTTTATCAACACATTAACTTCACAAATCTAGCCCTCGGAATAATTTTGGAATGGGTATTTTGAAATGTGTTTTTTCATTGACAATATACCTTCTAAATATTCTTTAATATTTAGAACGTAGAAGGGGTCTGCAGCTATTTTTACAGTTATGACATTAATAAAATCTGCGATGTGGGGATGCATGCCGGTTGCATGACAGGTTTAAAAAGTAAACAGCGGGAGTAAGAGTGATAAAAAGATAAATACACATTATAGAAACTGAAGACAAAAATTAAAAACAACGTGAAGAGACACTATGCAGACTGAGCCTGAGTCTGATGTCAGAGAAACACAGTCAGATTTTCAAGTTGCATTTTGGCATATGACCGACCAGCTTTTGTACTTTTGTATTCTAAGGGTACAGGGATTTGCTCACATACAATAAAACCTTTAAAGTTGTAATCAACAGAGATTATGACAAAGAACATGCAGTAAAGCTGCCTGTTAAAATACAACAAGGTCATGAAATAATGCTAAAATAATCATGGTGAAACAGAGGCAGTTAAATACAGTATAAACTTAAGCTCATAAATCCAATGTAACTGGAAAATGTGCTTCTTAAGTCTGAGAAGGAGGAAGTAATTTTTAGGGGTCCATCAGCAGCCTGTGCTGTAGTGCTTCGGTTGTGAGTTAAGCTTATCCTAGTTACTGTATGTCAGGGTCAGTTCCCGTCTGTCCGAGTCTTTCGTGTCTCCTCCCTGCTTGGCCAGCAGGTGTCGCTGGCCATCCTGTCCTCCCTGTCGTTACAGTATTTAGTGTACCACATGGCTCAATGCGCTGGGCATGCAGCTACTGTATCAAACCCTGTAGTCTTGTGTTCAAATTCTGCCTCTTCTGTTTTTGTATTTCGTTCCCTAGTGTTTCACTTATCAGTTTTTCTAGTTACTGTGATTTTGTGGTTTGTTTTCTGCTTTGGTTTTTTGCTTTGCCTTGGTTCTGTTTTATCTGCCTTTGTTATTTTCCCTGTGTTTAGATTCTGTTTCCTTGTGTTTCTGTCAGTTTCTTAGGTTCCCCGTATGATCTCCCAGTTCCTTGAGTTAATTATTAGTTTCACCTGTTGCCTGTTCTTGTGCCGGTCCTTGTGTGTTTCCTTTTTGGTCATTGTCCTGCACCCTCCTTGATTGGCTAATTGTCTCATGTCTCACTCCTGCTGCATCGTTACCCGGTTCAGTTTATTTATTTAAGTTCCTGCCTTAGTTCAGTTCGCTAGTGGGTCATTGTTGCATTCGAGTTGCATTCGGAGTCCCTGTTGTGTTGTTGTGTTGTTGTGTTGTTGTGTTGTTGTGTTGTTGTGTTGTTGTGTTGTTGTGTTGTACTTCACCTGCCTGTTCCTTGTTGCCCTGACCCTTAGTAGTTAGTCTTTGTTTTTCCCCATTTGCTTTTTGACCCCTCGTGGTCCATTGTTTTGTAGTGTTCCCCGTGTTTTCAGTTTCTGTTAATAAACCCAGTTCGTCCTGTGAGCCACAAGTGGATTGTCCACCTTCCTTTTCCCCACCTGCACGATGCCCTGTCCTCGTGATAGAAACACTGAGTCCCTGACAAGTAAATCTACACACCATCTAAACACCCCAGCAGAGTTTAGCCTGGTTATGGGACCGCAGTGTGATTCGGGGCAGGCTGGATTCATACTCATACTTCCAGAGGACACCCTGTAACAAATAATTCTAGAAATTTTCTCACATTTGAGTTAGTTAACAACAGGCCAGATGTCAGCTTGTCTGAAAGTCATGTTTTGCTTCATAATCCCTGTTTTGTAAGCTTCCCTTCCTTTTCATTTCAAAGTCTCTGCCAAGTGCTGTAACATAGTGTCTCCTTCCAGAACTTCCCTGGCTTAAAACAATTCCATCAATCACTTAAATCCTAATGGATCCCCTAAGAAACAAATGTGGTAACCAGTGTAAACAAAGCACATAATTTCATGATGAGTGCTGAATTCGAACAAGCAACTCAGGTACAAGCAAATAAGGGACAATAACAGGAGAACGGTGTTGTGTTATTAATGGGGCACTGGTAGCCTATTGGTGAGAGAAGCATGCTTGTGATTGGGAGGTTGCTGGTTTGAATACCCAACCAGCAAGGTACCACCTCCAAGCACTACTCCCTGGTAACAGCTGCCCACTGTGATCACATATGAGTTAAAGGCAGAAGATACATTTCATTGTGGTGTATCAATAATAACAATTTATTGCTTGCAGAGTCACCGAGGTTGGATGACGGAACAATAACTACTGAAACCCCCTTATATACAGAGCTGGACTGGGCATCTGGACAAAAGTTATTGTGTGGGGTCAAATATACTGTATCAGTCCATCATATCATGCATTCCTTTAGAGGAAAAAGCTCTGGGTGCTAAATTTCCAAGTGTCACCTCCCTGTGCAATCACCACATGTATCCTAAGCGAGCTTCCATGCAGATAGCGTGCCAGACACACCCAAACACAGACACTGAACGTGCTCAACATCACAGCAGCAGCTTTTCTCATGTTATACTTCCTGTGAGCCGTGGGGTAAAGGCATACCCAATAAAGACAGAGAAAGAGAAAATTGAATTTGAAGGGACCAGGAAACATCAGCCTTTAACAAAGAGATCGAATTGTCCCCCATTAGAGCTCTTGATTAGAACAACAAAGCAGCAACTCAGAACTGCTGCATATGACCTTACCCTCCAGGATGATCCTGCAAAACCTCACTCTCGCTCAGGCAAAAACATCGCTGCATATTTAACCACGGGAAACAAACCTGATACTGGGCTGAAGATAAAAAAAAACAGTCTACACTAAAATGTTTAAGGTGGGGTGAAAGAAAAAAAAAATGAACTTCTGTAATTCGGTGAAAAGAAATCTATTAAAAAGTTAATATAACTTTGTAGCTGTTTGTATTCTTTCCTAGTCAAAAGTCTGCTCAGTAATACAATAAAGAATTAATGTACTACCAAGAGCCAATAAATCTTTTAAGTGCATTTTATATTAGTAATATTTGATACAAACAACGTCTGTAAAGTTATTTTAAAGCTAATATGTTGATACCTAATTTGACCCCAATAAAAGAGAATATTGTGCAATGACTTCCATTTTCCTACTTCCAAATAAAAACTAAGCACATGATGTCAGAACTGTTGGGATGAATGACTCGGGGCACGCATGGTGGACAAACAAAAGGAGTTTTATTGAACTTGAAGAACAAAGACTGGAAATAAACTGGATCACGGGGGATCAAAACGGGAGGATTGGGTACAGGCAAGAAGACGGTAACGTTAATGAGCAGACTAGCAACAACCAGACAAACATGTACCTAAATGCATGGACTAAGAAGGTCCAACAAGCATCAGGTGCAGTGGATCAGGCCATGTGACGGAGGAGACAAGAGAGTCAGGCAGATGTGGCAGGCAGGAAGTGACACATGACAGTTCTATTGGACTGAAAATTATTAAAAGCAGTTTTCATTACCTTTGAGTAGAGAATGTACTGCTTATTAAATAATACAATATGCTTTCATTAGAATAGACGTGTACCATAAATACATCACAGAAACACTCTACAATGTTTAACAAACTATATTTCATATTAGCATTTCAGTATCCATAACCAAGGCGCTTGATTAGAACACCTCACATATGTAGCTTTTGCAAAAATTAGAGATGTTTTATAGCATTATAACTTGCTAAATTAATAGGGTCTTATATAACCTATGTGTTAAATGAAACTGAGCTCTTAAAAAGTTACAGAAGATGGAAGACAATGGAATCCCTGACTTCTTTTTGTACAAAGTTATATACAAGCAAAGCAAATTGTAAATTTTATGATAGGCCAATAATAATAATAATAAAATATTATTAATAATAATAACTATGTACAAAAACATGTACATAGCAACTGTTTGATATGACCTTTTGAAATAATGTATTTTTATTATGAACCCTGCTGAATGTATATTTTTCCCAAACACATCATCATGTTTACTTTTGTACAGTTATAGGAAACGCGGCACATTAGCCATCTTTAGCAGGCAAATGGCGTCTGATCCACGGCACCTGGGGAAGCCACCTGGAACACATCTCAAATGTTTCCAGAGCCACAAAGAACATAATAAATATCGCCATCATTTAAACAGGCCTACTGCTCATTTAAACCATGCATTATGCAGGCACCAGTCTGATCAGTTTTTACTTTTTTGGTTTTCTATGGTTTACAAGTGGATTTTATGTGCTTTTACAATATAGTTTGCTGGTTTATGGTGATTCAATATACAATTATGAAAAATTGATAAATTAATAAAATTCCAGCATGATTAGTACAAGAATCAAAAGAATAGAAGAAAAATTAATGTTGTTAATATTATAGGATTCAACATATGTTATTTATTTCAAATGTAATTTATTGGAAAAGTATTTTCAAAGTGTCTTTTAAAGTGCTTATGTTTCCTTAGTTTTAGTCAATCGAAATATGAGCCAACAGGAAAAGTCAAAAGCATCACCTTCAGTGTAACAATGGAAAAAAAACTGCATGAAGTGACACCCGGTCATTACACAGACACACACACACACACACACACACACACACACACAAAACTAAGTGCTTCTAATAAGCAGCAGTACACAAGTACACAAAGTAAAAGAGATTTGGAGAATAAAACAGGATGTTTAAAATGCTTCATGCCAACCCAGTTTTAAGAGTTACAGTATAATAACGAAGTATAAGGCCAAAGTATTATTAATGTCTTCCTGTCCTTTGGAATTTATAGTCATCTAACAGCCTCTGAAAGCGGAGTCACATACGCTTCATTACAGCAAAAGGTTTACAAATATTACTCCTTTAAGAAAAATAAGGAGATAAAATTCTACATAGCTTTAAGGCACATTATAAAGGCACACATCCGAACTAAAAGTAAATCTGGTAGAACATGAAAAAGAATTAAAATTGTAATGTATCCTGGCTGCATCGACAAGTTCTATGTAGGTAAATACAGTAGTAGTAGTAGTAGAAATAATAATAATCTTTCAAAAAGATAAAAATTCAGATAATAATCATAAAAACGTGTGATTTATGTTGTAGAACAAAACAGCCATACATCCACTATAGATACAGGTATAGAAAATAAGCTTATAATTTCAATCGCTTTGTATAAAAGGCACGTGTGTCTACCTCAACTGCCCAGCTCATCACGAGAATCCAGCAATAATCATTTAAACCCATTTCCAAAGTCGCTTGAACTCATGTGTTCGTTTATGCGCAGCTGGCCATCAATGGATACGAAGGATCCGTCGGGCAGTTGCTTGAAAATGCCCCTCAGAGTATCCAACTCACGGCTGAGATGTTCCACCTTCTGTCGGAGTCTCTCGTTGTCCACCGCCAACTCCAGCACCTTCTGCTGCGTCTCCGCGTTGCGCATCTTCGCCTTGTCCCTGCTCTTCCTGACAGCCACGTTGTTCCGCTCCCTCCTTAAGCGGTACTCGCTGCTGTTTTTGTCAATGTGCTTCTTGGATCTGCTTGTCTTCACCGGTCCCTGCTGCTGGTGGGGACTTGGTACCGGTGTCGGAGGAGGTGTCGGGTGGCCAGGGTGGATGTGCATGGACGTCTGTGCGCAATGCGCGATCTGGTACTGAAGATGCGTAATGTGCTGCGCAGGATGACGGGGAAGGGAACTGGTGAAAACGGGGGAAACTGATGATTGACAAAGCTCGTCATCTTCCCGATGTTCCTGTTTTATCGCCACGGGTCGTTTTCCTCTGACAGAATAGTTCTCGTAAATTGGTTCAGACACGGAAGCATCTGTGTAGTTCGCCACGCTGCCGTACAACTGCTGGTTAACCCTGGGCTCCGGGTATCCGTAATCAGCGCCTGCCAGTTTGACTTTCTCCAGTTTGTTATTGTTATGCAGAAGATCTTCCAGAAACTCGTCGTTCAGTTGCGCAGGATCGATGTATGCGCTGATATCAACCGAGCTTTCGTTCTCGCATATCTCACTTAGGTCTCCGATGATGTTAGTTTCTTTGTAGCAGAATGAACTTTGCTGTGGAAAGCAAGTCATTAGGGGTCGTTGCGCGACCTCGTACAAATTCGGCTGCTCCATGAAGGATCTAAAGCGCGCCAGACATGGTGAGGAGCTCCGGGGATCCAGCTTGATCGAATGGAGGGATGAAAAAAGCAACACTCGCAAATGTTCCCAATACACTTTATGACAGACAACCCATATTCTGACCTGCGGTTAAAGAGTTGCAAAACCTGTAGTTGGAGTTCAACGAGATACCACGAAGTAATTAGTCCAATTCACTCCTAGAGCTCGCCGTTGACTGCCTATATATATAGGGAGTGACGGCTTGCGCGTCAAGTTTTCTGGGTCCTAACGCGCACTACTCTGTAAATTGAGTACCACATTTTAAATGTGTTATGTATTTAGGTTAACCAACAGTAAATACGACAAAATATCTAACATGGAAGTTTAAAATGCCGTTACACGTTTACCGATGTGTTTACTGATGCATGCACTTTTCGGCAAATAAATTTAGGCTGTGTTGACAATTACTATATAAGTATGCTCCTGATCGCCATAATTCTGAATCATAGTTCTCAATTTCATCATCATATCTCAGTTTCACTGAATGATTATTTTTCTTTAGCAAACTGATACTTATTCAGAGACCAGTTTCAACATTACAAGGCTCTACATTACAGTAAGTAAAGTTCGCTGGCTGGAGAAAGCACTCGCATGCTCATGTACCTTCAAGAAAATGCCACATCACTGCAGTTAATGGAGTGTATCTTAAATTTGAATTGTTTTGAAAGCTTGGTTAACGGTTTTCCGTGTGGTGGCTAACATGATGATCACGTACATAATCTATTTTGACCAACAAGACTAAAGTAACTAAATATTGTGTCAAATGATGACAATTGTACAAAACTATTTGCATATATGTACTAAAACATTTGGAAATTTGTGTGAAGCAATGAGAAATTATGTTTTGCTGTGCAGAAGTGACATTATGGTGTGGGGATTATACTCATTGTCTTGTAAATGTTAATTGTCATTTGAGAAATGTGGCAATCAAGAAAAACTGTAAATAACACTGCTGCCGTTGTTGTTACAGCATCTATAGAGTTATTTTCTTTCAATTGTCAAATAGTAACACTGTGTTGTGCTCTATCAGTACATGCTGTCCATCTGAAGGTTCATGAGATCCACCTCTGAGATATTTTAGATAACTGGTTGATCATTGGTTGTTCTAATGCACGGGTGGCCAATCTTATCCGCAAAGGGCCGGTGTGTATGCAGGTTTTCGCTGCAACTCCCTAATTAGATTACTAATTAGAGGACTGATTGGCTGAAGAGTCCTCACACCTGGGTTTGAACAGCTGACCTACAGGTTATTCCAAAAACCTGCATACACACCGGCCCTTTGCGGATAAGATTGGCCACCCCTGTTCTAATGCATGAAACATTCCCCTCCATTAGTGAGTAAAGATTCATATGAAATCAATTACAGTTTTGTGCTTGTAGAGTCCAAATGTTGCTAAATGAAGTTGAGAACCATGTTATTATTGCCATCTACAACAATGGAGTAGGAGAGAGGTCAATATAGGACAAAATGTAATCATATAAAGGCAAAAGTGCAGCCACGTCGTCTCGCCTCATTGTATACATGTATATAGCTGAGATAAAGTTTTTTACATTTGTTCTTTATTGTTTCATATTCTGTTTCTTCAAATTCATATTTGCATGTTATATGGATGAACTTGAAGAATTCAGTACATTACCAGCAACTGTGAACTTTCTTCATGTTAAAATGTTCATAATTCAAACTCATTTTTCATCCTACCTGTCTGTTGTACTTCCATTGATTTCCTCTTTAAGAACAACAAATAATGCAATCACAAAAAAAAGGAATACAAACTCATTAACAACATTGGAAAAGAAAGTTTTAATTTTATCTGATGTGGTGTGTATGTATTACCAAGGATGGGAAAGTCACCATGTCATTAATCCATAGATACTCTTCAACAGATAGCGTTTAGTTTAAAAGGAAGAAGTTCTGGCTCTTAAAAGAGCCTTTGTTTTAATGTGAAAAAGAGCAGCAGCAGGTGTAGTAACTGGTTTAAGATACATAATTCTGCCAGGAAGCTGGGGAGGAGAAATATTGGCAGGTGTCCCATATAGCTACCGCCTCTTGTGAGGGGTAGTTCGTGCAAAAATCTCCTTTGGTGGAAGGTTCAGGTGCAGAAAGTACAAATCCAGACCAAAGTTTTGTTTCAACCAACCAGTTGAATAGAAAGAGTCACAGTCACCGAGTGCTCGGCCTTGTCCTGGATTTTTGTTTTCTGGACATGAACATTCCACCTCTGTCTGTAATGGATTACTTTGGTGAGTAACTTCTCCAACACTGCAAAAGGTCATATAATGAATACACCTAACTGCTTGAAAAAGTTTGTCTGAAAATGACATATTAACGTACTTTAAAAAAGAATGCCATATAGGAAGATACATCTGAATAGTTTGAACTTCAGTAGTAATTACAGATTGGATATAATATTGTATCAAACGTTGTGTTAGTTTATACAAATATAACATTTAGAACTCCTGAGGGAAAAGGCCTCATCTGCCACAAATCCATGAGGCACAGGAGAACCTGGAAGAGGTGCATCTTCTGGGAGAGCTGCCTTTGTCTTCAGCCAGGAGTTTTCCAAATGCATAGGGAGCAAGGATCCCTCCATCGCTATTCCATCCAAAAGCTCCCACATCTATTGCCCTGAAAAGATATTTCACATCCACCAGAGCCAAGAGTATGATAGAGAAGGTGCCCTTGTAATTGTAAAACAGAGAGCCAGAGCTTGATGGTGCCTGGATTACAATATGTTTCCCATCTAATGTCCTGACACAGTTGGGAAGATTCCATTTCTCTTTGAATCCCTGGGCAATCTCCGTCCAATCAGCATCTTTTGGTACTGGCAGAAACTCATCCACCAGGCTCTCCCAGATTGCCTTGGCCACGTCTGATACAGTATTTGCTGCTGTGGTTTATGCAAAGGCAGGATCTGGAGGCAATGGTGGTATAGGAGTCTCTAGCCGTCATCCTCCAGATTATGGGTCCAACTCTTCCCAGCAGACAGTAAAACTGCTCAGTGCTGAGCCGATAGTAAACCTGAAACTAGACACAGTGAAATTGTGCCTCCTTGATTAAAGCTGCTCTCTGAACTTGCGAATTTTGTGTATTCACACGTTTTTTTTTGCTGCTTCTCTTCTTAAGAATGAGAGCTAGTGCTCTCTTTGGAATGGGAGGCAATTTTCATTGTTTACATCTGCCACAAAATGATGAAACACATTTTTGTTACGTACCTGTACTGCGCGTACCTTTGCGACCGCTGCCTAGTAAATTTGGGCCCTTAAGAGTTATAATGGGGGGAGCGTGTGGTTGAAGTTGGGAGAGGGGGGGTCAGAAGGAATGGTGAAGAAGGTAGGCAGGCAAGGAGAGGAGGAGGGGGGCAGCAGACACTTTGTTCTTCAAATCTGAAGTGGAACTGGGGGTGGCCTTGCATCTGGGGGGCATAAGATGGGTCAGCAGGCTAGACCTCTGTGCCTATGGTCAGAAGGTCACTGGTTTGAGCCCAGCCTCAGCAAAATAGTCACATGTCTGTGGGCCCTTGAGTTAGTCTCTTAACCACCCCCAACACCATGGGCACCAAAAGGCCATGTTGTCTCAAAACAGAAACAGGTTAAATTTGAAAGGGCATTTTTTATAGTGCATGTATGCGCACGGAGTGATGCATCTTTCCAACTGTCACAGCAGACCTACATGCATTCAGCCAAATGAAAATGCAGACAGTACAGAGAATTAACATATATTGAAATTATACAATTAACGTTATGGTATCCAGAGAGGGACCATGCATAACCTCAAGTCTTCTCGAGTGGTAGGGTCCAAATCGGGTCCAAGTCTCAAGTCATTTGCCCAAGTCCAGGTCTAGTCCAAGTCTTTCCATCAGTTTTGCCAAGTTAAGACACAAGTCATCAAATTTTAGACTAAATTATACAAGGCGTTCGGTCTCGAAAGTAGCTCACGTTGAGGAGCCAATCTCAATAAGAAACTTTTTTTTATCTGTTTGTAATAAAATAATGATTGGTATATAGATAGTTTTCGCAAATCCACGAACGCATCAAATTCCCTGTCTTTGGATTTGTCTCTTTTGGCGCCTAATTTCTCGAAAATATTATTGAGCATAAAGTCAGTGTTTCCGCCTCTAGCTATTTCTAGCGTGTATTTTTCTTTTGTACAGGTGACTAATGCATAGGATGGTGGCGCCTGGGTTGCTGTATGATTTTAATATTATATGATTCACAGGCTTACACTTTCGACATCCGCAACAGCCGATTCCTACGTATAAAAACCCACTTTAGCATTTTCGGAGGAGGTCGCAAACGGAATCGTTGACCTATCAGGTACAGGAAACTGGATGTACTGCTCACTCATTGGTTCTACAAGATGTCGATCATGTGGGGATTGCGTCATCCTTCCTGCCTTTAGTCTCTGTACATTGTAAACACGATTTCGCAACAACCGGGACGCCACGATGGAGGCTGAGGCAGCGAACTTCCGTTTTTAAACTATGATGGACCATTTTCGGGAGCTACACCTCTAAGGTAACTGATATACTTTTTAATTCTGTATCTTTACAACACATATACAGTTAGCTTTTTGTCGGATTGTTGCTAGGCTCTAGCAGCACAAGTGCTGGCCGGCCGCTGTAACCCTAGCCCGTCTCACCACCTCCGGTCCGCTCTCCATCTGTCCCCTTTCGTTACTTCTTAACCATCGCATGACCGATCATTTGGACATTACAGTCAGGTTAACCAGCCGGGTCTGATTTCGAGAGGTCATTGGGCGTCGCTCCATGGGCAGCACAAAAAACGGAAGCGGTCCGATCAGGTCGTTTTAGATGAAAACATTAATTTGGACGTAAATGGAAACATCGCATGGAAATAGGATAATGTGGATCTGATAGATGATAGAGGTGAATTTGTACGGACGCATATTATGTTTTGCAGATTGGCGAGGGGGGTAGAGCTGCACCATGATGCAACCGGAGGCAACAGGAGCGCGCAGCTGTACTTATGGCAGGAGAGATCAGTATACATTACTGTAAATTAGCGGATCGCACAGCCGTTTATACACTGATATAAACCTCGGGATACGGCAAAAGACCAGGCATAGAATCTATAGTTGTATCGCAGCTGATACCGCAGCCGTTTATACATTAGTAAAGATCTCGGGATGCAGCCTGAACAGGCCGTTTATACACTGATGTAAACCCTGGGATCCAACCAAAACAGGCGTAATAAAGACACTAATGTCATCATATAAGAGACGTAGGATCACAGGCCTTAATCAGCCTGCAGATTGCAAAATAAATTCACATATCATACAGAGGTGAAAGTGAAGCTTGGGGGCAGAGCACACCGTCATTTATCCAGTGCATCTGGAGAAGTTTTTGGGGTTCAGGGCTTTGCTCAATGGTCCCAAAATGCACAGATGGTCAGCTTGGAGACTACAGAGTAATTGTGGCAAAGTTAAACCAAAATGAAGCCAACATTTGTCTATATTTGCTTTTGTTTCTCAACCAACAGGGGCATTTTTTTTGTAGGAAATTGATCTCCAACAACAGACTGTAAAATCTGTGTGGTGAGATACCGGAAAGGAAGGGAAGAGGCAGATTTCTGGGACAAATGAGCAAACCGTTGCAGCAGAAGCACAACACCGAACAGAAGAGCGTGAGCGTGATCCAGAG